GCTCCTCAGGAACTCTCCATTCCCTTCCCAGCTCCTCAGGAACTCTCCATTCCCTTCCCAGCTCCTCAGGAACTCTCCATTCCCTTCCCAGCTCCCTCAGCTGTTCCCTGCTGGATTTCTGCTCCAGGATGTTTTTTTTACTTTCCTAATCCCCCTCAGGAGCTCCTCCTGCTCCTCCATCCCCATCCTGCTGGAAATTGGGAGAGCCCCACGTGCTGTTCCTTCCCTGGGGTGAAATCAGTTAAAAATTCCTCATTTTCATGATTATTCCAAAGGAGGGAAATCTCTCGGGTGGTTCTGTGAGCTCTCCCACTCCTGAAATCCTTTGAGGGCTCTGTCTCCCACCTCGTGGTGTTTTCCAAGCTCTGGGAAAGGTTTTGCTTCCAGAAGCAGCAGGAAAATGGGCAGGAATTTGTTCCTGAAATGGGGCAGGAATGCAGCAGCAGCTCCCACTGTGGGGAGAGCCTGGATTAAAAAAAAACAAACCTTTTACAGGAATGAGCCTGGATATGAACATTTCCAGCTTTAGGAGCTGCAGAAGGAGATTTTGGGGGAAAAAAGGGGTTTTATGGCATAGAAATCTGAGAGTGATGTGAAATCTCAGAACTCTGGATTCCCTGGAGATCTGGAGCTGGGAATGCTGGCTGGGACGTTTGTGTTGGTTTTTCCAGCTGTCCCAGCCTGAACTCAGGAGAATTCCCAAAGTCGTCTTCCCACTCATTGGCTGAATAATGGGAGAACTCCTGATTTTCCATCCTACTGAGCCCCAAAATCCCCTTTGTTCTCCTGTGGGCTGGGAAGGGCTGGGCTCTTCCCACTCCAGGGAATCCTCAGCTTTGCCAAGTGGGAAAATTTGCAGCTCTGAGCCCCAGCTTGGTGGGATAATCCAGAAAAAATACAGAGTTTTTTTTATCCCAGGTATATAAAAATATCTTACACCAGGCAGGAGCAAAGATCCATCCAGAGGAAGATGAAAATCCTTAAGGAAGTTTTATAAGGATTTCTATAAAAATATAAATAATTATTTCTAGGGAAAGCTCCTGGTAAAGAATCATTTCCTGCTGGGATATGAAGGAGATAAAACCTAAATGGATTTGATTTGCTGATGTGGAAGGGAATTAATTCCTCCCTCACTCAGGTGAAAACTGGAGTTTTCCAAACTGGATCCATGAGAACTCCGGCATTTTGAGGCTTCCATTCCTCTGAATTAATTCCTATTGCTTTTCCCTTTTCTCCAGTGGCAAAGAGGAAAATCCCTGGATTTGTCCCCCAGTGGCAGTGGCTGTTAACTTGGCCATAAACAACTTTTCCATGGAACGGGAGCTGTGGGGAGGGGTGGTGTTTATGGACAGTTTGTTTTGGTGGGAAGAACATTGTCCTGATTTATGGGATGTGCTTTGTGCTTTTCCCAATATTCCCACAGAACCAAGTGACAGACACCAACCGGAAGCTGCAGAACGAAGGGAAAGAAGTAAGTGATGGATCCAGTCCTGGAATTACAGCCTGGACTGGTGTGGGAGGGAGAATTCCCTGCCCAGCCTGGCCTTGTGTCCTCGGTGTTCCCTTTTCCACATTGTCAGGGTTTTCTCTTGGAGTCTGAGCCTTGAGAAATCCCTGTTAACTTCGGGAGGTGAGAATTCCCCTTCCAACCTGGCCTTGTATCCTTGGTGTTCCCTTTTCCACATCCCAGGATTTTCTCTTGGAACCTGAGCACTGAAAAATCCCTGTTAACTTTGGGATGTGATAATTNCCCTGTCCAACCTGCCCTTGTATCCTTGGTGTTCCCTTTTCCACATCCCAGGATTTTCTCTTGGAACCTGAGCACTGAAAAATCCCTGTTAACTTCGGGAGGTGATAATTCCCCTTCCAACCTGGCCTTGTATCCTTGGTTTTCCCTTTTCCACATCCCAGGATTTTCTCTTGGAACCTGAGCACTGACAAATCAGATTCAGCTTGGGATGAGGAAAATTCCCTGTCCAGCCTGGCCTTGTGTCCATGGTTTTCCCTTTTCCACATCCCTAGATTTTCTCCTAGAACCTGAGTACTCAAAAATCTCTGATATTTTTGGGATGTGAGCATTCCCTCCTTGATTTTCCCTTTTCCACTTACCCAGGATTTCTCTTGGAGTCTCAGCCCTTGAGAAATCCCTGTTAACTTTGGGATGTGAGAATTCCCTGTCCAGTCTGGCCTTGTATCCTTGCTTTTCCCTTGTCCCCATCCCAAATTTTTCTCTTGAAGCCTGAACACTGAATAATCCCTTTTAACTTTGGGATGTGAGAATTCCCTGTCCTGGCCTTGTATCCTTGTTCCCCCTTTCCCACACCCCCAGGGTTTTCTCCTGAGCCTCATGGAATCCCTGTTAACTTTGGGATGAGAGAATCCCCTGTGAGCGAGCGGCCACATCCTGCCTTTGAGAACCCAAAACCTTGGAAGAGCTGCCTAAAACGGGAAGGGGAAATAACATTTTGGAATCCACAGGATGTGCTCCGAGGCCGCTTCGATGCCTTTGGTTTTGCTGCTCCCTGTTTGAGATCCAGGGAATTCCGGGAAGTTCCCCTGGAGCCGCCCCCGTCCCGAGCTCAGGATGTCAGAGCAGGGTTTTTGGGGTGGACCCAGGGGTGTTTGCTGATCCTGAGGGAGCTTTTCCTGCTTTTCCAGCTGATCCTGGCCATGGAGGAGCTGAGGCAGTGCCGGCTGCAGCAGAGGAACATCTCGGCCACGGTGGATAAACTCACGCTGTGTCTCCCCGGTGAGGAACCTCCTCGTTTTTGGAGCCCTTTGGTGGAATTCCCAATTTTTTGCTTCCTTTTTGGAGCTGTTTGGATTCCCAGCTGGGTGCTCCTGTCTCAGAGCTGTGTTTTCCTTCTCTTCCCAGTGCTGGAGATGTACAGCAAGCTGCGGGAGCAGATGAAATCCAAGAGGTAAATCTGGGCTGAGCTGGGGTCTGAGGGGAAAACTCCAAGGAATTGTTTGGTGCTGGGCAATTTAAGGAGAATCTCAGCAGTTCAAAACCAGCTTTTCCAGGTTAAATTTCCTGGTTTTTGGCTGCTTTTCCTCACAGTCCTGCTCAGCCTCCTGTGGTCCAGCTGAGAATGGGGATGGCAGCAGGCTCAGATTTTGGGAATTAAGGTGTATGTTCCTTGTTTTTTTATGGAAGCTCAATATTGTGCATGGAACCAAGGCATGTTACCAACTGAATTTCATTCCATGAATGCCACAACCCAAATCTTAATCCAGCCTGGGAGATCCCAGGGAATGTGTGGGGAGTGCAAACAGCTGGAAACATCGGGGGGTGGAAGTTGGGGAGAAAACTTCTTCTGCTGTAGGAATAATTCCTCAGCACTTGGTGCCTCGGGAATGCCGGGCTGTAATTCCAGGAGTTTCCCCACCCTGCATCTGCTGGGATGCTGAGGGATGAAAACTCAGGGATCTTGGCAGGAATCCTGGGGAGGTTTTGTTTATAGTGCAGTCTCGCAAACGGTGAGGTTTGTCGCGCTTCATGTGACACATTGAAAAATGGGGTTGTGTCTCTCCCTCTCCAAGGTGCTTGAAGGATAAACTGTTTAATTAAGAAATGACACTTCAATTATTTTTACTTTTAACTCAGTAATTAACTACTTGGGCTTTGTAATGGGGAGTTTTTATTTAATTGTACAATACTACTTAAACATACAAAAAAGAAGGTGAAGAAGGATGAGCTTTTGCTTTAAAACTTTTATCTCATTTTATATATTTTACTGTATTCTAAAACTTTAAATTCTATGTGATATTACATACTTCTATTTAAACTACACACTTAGAATTTTATTTTTATTATTTAACTTTGGAAGCTTTTTTTAACGGTCTCAGGTTAAATGTAGTGTTTTCTTGGGGGTCAGTTAGCACAGAAAGCCTAAAATTCTCAGTGACCAGGTGTCATTTAGGGAGGTGATGCAAAGCTGATCATGAAATTACTGATAATAAATTTTTCTTTATACCCTTTTTTATGGTTTTGAGCCTGCTTTGCCTTTCTCCTGATCCTCCCTCACAGCAGGAATTGGCCAGCACCGAACCCGCCACACTCCTTGGGGCATTGGGCTGGGAAATCTCAAAATTGCCAAAATCACAAATTGAACCAAAACTGTGAAAACTCCCCGTGAGGTCCCCTTGGTGGGGAGACTTTTTAAAAGAAAGTGCTGGAATTGGGGAGACTTTTAAAAAATTCTATGCTAGAATTGAGAGATACAGGACTTCTGGTTTTTTCACTTTTCAGGTTGTTGCTTATTTTTTCTCTTATCTACATACCAGACTTAGCCTACAAAGAGAAAGGCACTAAAAAAGCCACAAGACACACAGGTTTAAGGTTTTTAAAAACTATTTTGTTCAATTAACTCTTGGAACGTATTTTATTTCTACCTTTCTGCCAAAAACTCATTATTTGTCTGTCCGTGCAACGTCTGCATCGCGGTTCTTCCTAACCAATCACCCATGCCACCAACACTGCAGAAAATGGAGCAGAGGAAGAACAAGGAGGTCAGACAGCGCCCAAAATCCTCCGCCTTGTTTCCTACCCACCTCCATATAAAAACCCCAAATTTGGAGCTTTTCATGATCAAGTTTATTACTGTATTTCACGCGCTCGTGGGTTCCAATTCCTCCCCGAGCCTTGGAAGCTTTCCCCGTGGGCGGAGGTTAAAAGCAGCGTTGTGAGTTTGCAGACCCCAAACTGGGCAACTCCCCGGGGGCTCCCCTGGCAGGGGGGACCCTCCTGGAGCAGTTCTGTGCCAGGAACGAGGGGCACATTGGATTTTCGTGGTATTGAGCTTCTGTTTATTGTTACCTTATCAAAACTTCAGGCTCTGTGTGCAGGAAAAACAGCACAGAAATGGCCAACGACCTCGTGCTGCAAAGTCTTTTTAAGTCTAATCAAAAAGTAAACTACCCAATTAAGAAGTGACACCTGAATTATTTTCCTTTCCAACCCAATAACTGAGCCTAAAGACCCGCAATGCAGATTTTTCTGCTCCGTTACAAGATACCACCTAAGCCCAAGAAGAAGGAGGAAGAAGAAGAAAGAAGAAAGGAACTGGAGACAACACCCTGTGTGCTCCATCTTGAACCCATCTATAAGATCCTAAAAATCCTAAAACCTAAATTTCTCAGCCATGTGACATTCTCCACTACTCTACAATCTATTTCACACTTTTGTGGTTTCTGGTTTACCTTGAGGCTTTGGAAGTTTTCTCTATGAATGAGGGTCAAAGTCAGTGTTTTCCTGGGAGTCAGAGCTGCCCAAGACAGGCACAGAAATATTCCCAGTGCCTTGGGTTTCCACACAGTGTTCTCCTGGGCATCTCAGGACAGGCAGAGAAATATTCCCTGTGCTCCAGGACCAGGCTTCCACCAGCTGCTCCCGACCTTTCCTGTGGCAGGCACATCCTTCTCTCTCTCAGGATTTTTCATAGAGGAGCACAGAGAGAAGAAAGAGAAAACAATTTCTGTTTCTGCTCCTTGTTTTCCCATGTGGAATGTGTCTGGAGAATTGTTTCCCTGGGGTGACGCTTGGCTGGGTTCCGGTGAGGATTGTTTGAGCCTGGTGGCCAATCCAATGTGGCTGGAGTCTGGAGAGAGGGTCATGAGTTGTGAGTTAGATTTGGGAGTTAGAACAAGTAGGTTTGTAGTTTTAGTATCTCCTTTAACTAGTGTATTAATGTATTGTAGCACAGTTATAATAAATAATCATTCAGCCTGCTGAGCTGAGTCAGACCTCAGCATTTCTTCCCTCTGGGTTCATCTGCATTTACACCATCTCCCTGCTGCCCCAGGCACTACCCGGCCCTGAAGACCCTGGAGCACCTGGAGCACACCTTCCTGCCCCAGGTGAGCCACTACCGCTTCTGCAAGGTGATGGTGGACAACATCCCGCGGCTGCGCGAGGAGATCAAGGAGCTCTCCATGTCCGACCTCAAGGACTTCCTGGAGAGCATCCGCAAGCACTCGGACAAGATCGGGGAGACCGCCATGAAACAGGTGGGATTTGGGACCTTTTGGTGGGAATTGGGATTGGAGAGACCGCCATGAAACAGGTGGGATTTGGGACCTTTTGGTGGGAATTGAGACTGCCATGAAACAGGTGGGATTTGGGACCTTTTTTGGGAATCAGGATTGGAGAGACCACCATGAAACAGGTGGGATTTGGGGATGTTTGGTGGGAATTGAGACTGCCATGAAACAGGTGGGATTTGGGGCCAATTTTTGGGAATCAGGATTGGAGAGACTGCCATGAAACAGGTGGGATTTGGGGCCGTTTGGTGGGAATTGAGACTGCCATGAAACAGGTGGGATTTGGGGCTGTTTTTTGGGAATTGAGATTGGAGAGACCGCCATGAAACAGGTGGGATTTGGGACCTTTTTTGGGAATCGGGATTGGAGAGACCACCATGAAACAGGTGGGATTTGGGACCTTTTGGTGGGAATTGGGATTGGAGAGACTGCCATGAAACAGGTGGGATTTGGGACTGTTTGGTGGGAATCGGGATTGGAGAGACCGCCATGAAACAGGTGGGATTTGGGGACGTTTTTTGGGAATCAGGATTGGAGATACCACCATGAAACAGGTGGGATTTGGGACCTTTTGGTGGGAATTGAGACCGCCATGAAACAGGTGGGATTTGGAGACGTTTTTTGGGAATCAGGATTGGAGAGACCACCATGAAACAGGTGGGATTTGGGACCATTTGGTGGGAATTGAGATTGGAGAGACCACCATGAAACAGGTGAGGTTTGGGGATATTTGGTGGGAATTGAGATTGGAGAGACCGCCATCAAACAGGTGGGATTTGGGGACGTTTTTTGGGAATCAGGATTGGAGAGACCACCATGAAACAGGTGGGATTTGGGACCGTTTGGTGGGAATCGGGATTGGAGAGACCACCATGAAACAGGTGGGATTTGGGGCCAATTTTTGGGAATCAGGATTGGAGAGACTGCCATGAAACAGGTGGGATTTGGGGATGTTTGGTGGGAATTGAGACTGCCATGAAACAGGTGGGATTTGGGGCCGTTTTTTGGGAATTGAGATTGGAGAGACCGCCATGAAACAGGTGGGATTTGGGGCCAATTTTTGGGAATCAGGATTGGAGAGACTGCCATGAAACAGGTGGGATTTGGGGCCCTTTGGTGGGAATTGCCAATTTTTTGGGAAGAGGTTGGAGGTTCACTCGTCGTGTGGAAGTTCTGTTTCTGCAAGGGCTGTGGGTTGAATTTGGGATTCTCTTGCTGGGTGAGGAATGGTTGTTCCTTCCCTGGTTGCTCCTGGAGTTTTATCCTGGAGTTTTATCCTGGAGTTTATCCTGGGTTTTTGGCTGCTGAGAAGTGAGGAGCCCTTGTGTCCTTGGCTCCTCCCTGCTGGAGTTTTCCATGGTTTTGTGGCAGTCTGGGAGGTGCATTTGGGGTGGAACTGGTGCCTTGTGCAGGCTGCCCTAGAGCAGAGGCTGGATGGGATTAAAGAATAAAGCAGGAATTCATTAAAAGGATCTGATCTCCCCAATGGACAGAGCTGAAGATTAAAGCAGGGATTTATTCCAGGATCTCCTCATGGATCCACCTTGGGCTGCACCAGAGCCCAGCCAGGGCTGCACCCAAATGACCCAAAATGGTCCCAAAATGCACGAGCGCTCCCGGGGCTCTCCCTGGGATCAGTTCTGCTCCATTGGCACCTTGGAGTTCATTGTCCCATTCCAGCTCCAGCCCATCAGTCCCACCCTGCTTGTTTTTCTCTCTCCAGCCCACGGTGTTTGTGCTCCTGGGCTGAGGTTTGGATCATTGTCCTTGGTGCTCAGCTGGAGCAGGAATTGTTTTGTGTCCCTGCTCTGTGCACAGAGCTCAGCATCCCATAATATAAAAAGACCCACACACTAAAGCAGCCCAGAACGTGAAAAATGTAAAAACTAACCCTGAGGCATCACAACTCCCCATAACTCCATTTTCCACTCCTATTTTCCACTTCCCTGCATAGGGAATTGGTGCTGCTGGGAGACCTGGAGACATTGGGTTGATTCCCCAGTTTTGGGATTAAAAAAGCAAAGAGTTTATGCACTGCAATTCCATTAATTTTGCATCCCAAACTGATTTTAAATCCTGCCCAAACCTGGCTGGTGCCTCCTTTGCCTTTTCTGTGGTTGTGTCTGTGAAGGATGAGCTGATGAACTGAACCTCCCTGGCTGTGCCTTAAACCAGGAATTGCCTTTCCCACTCCCACAGAATATTTGGATTTCATCTCACCCCAGCCGGGAGCAGGGCAGGGGGAGGCTCTGGAGCTGCTGTTGAGGAGGTTTTGCAGCTCTGCTGGAATTCAGGAGCAGGGCAGGGAGCTGTTCCTGCCTGGGCCACCGAGATCCTTCCCTGCTGCCGATGGATGCTGAATTATGGAAGGACTTGGCTGGAATTCTCCAGGAGCTGCTGGGATTTTGCTGTTGTGTTTGTGGGCAGGGACAAATTCAGTTTTGTGTCTTACAAACCCCAGCCTTTCCCTGAAACAGCCTGACTTGAGGAGTTTATGAATTAATTAAATTCCCTGTATTTCAGTGTCTTTTTTATCTTCCAGCCCCTTCCTGGTTTTTTTTTGGGAAAGCAAACCCGGCCTTCCCTCATGGAATGGAGCTGTGGGGAGGGGTCGGTTGGCACCTGAGAGTTCAGGAAACTTTTTATTCAGATTAAACTTCCTGAAGGTGCAGAAACCCTTCCCAATCCAGATGTGCTTCCAGCTGTGCACGGGGGTGGTGCCTGGGAGGGCTCCAGGTGCTGGATTTACCTGAGGCAGCAATTCCTACGGCAGAATTCCCTATAAAAATTCTCCTTCAGTTCCTTGTGGAGGCAGAGCTTTGGGAAGAGCCTTCCTTGTTCCCTACGGCAGGGAAGGAACTGGAATTCCATTTCTTTTTGGTGTCAAATTAATGCAGTGAACACTTTATGGAATTATTTTATCTTTTTTATCCCCTGAAGGATATTTGTCAATTTTTGGGACATCACAGGGTGGAGGTGTTGTCTGGTAGCTTCCAGTTCCATGTTCAGGTTTCTGGGAGAGGATTCCAATCTCCTGGCTCTGTGCTGATGGATGAGGAGGGATGTGGATTTTAGGTGAAAAATTTAAAGAAATTTCCATCATTTCAGCACCTTTTTTGCTCTTCTGGTCGGAGAAACTTCTATAATTTTATTTCCAACCCACAGCACTGCTCTTCCCGCCCCTCCTGCTCCTGTGGCTCCATTCCTTCTTGTAGTGGTTTTTGTTTGCTAATTTGGAATTTTGCTGCTTTTGGGATTTTTGGTTAATGTATTAATGAGTGTGGTGGGTTTAGTGTTGGTTAATTATTAGTGCACTTGTCTTTTGCTGTGAGGAGTTAGGAGAAAAGTAAAGTAGGTTTAAAATTTTTAAAGGATATAAAGAAAATTTTACTGACAGGAACTAAAGGAAAAAATAATAAAAATTAGAACAAAACCTTCAGATCACATCTCTAAAAGCTTCACATCACTTCCATAAATGTCTTTTATACAAAACCAAAATGCTTCTCCGTCTGTCACTCTGAGGGAATCCTGTGGCTTCTCCTGGGGTTTTCTTCATTAATTCCAGCCTTTCCTCCTCCTCCTCCTCTTCCTCCTCCTGGTATTCCCAGCTCTGGGCGTGCTGGGGGTTGGCTGCTCCTGCCCTGCCCAAATTCAGGGATGGGGGCAGCGAGTGGGAGCAGCCTGGAATGGGGGGCACTAAAATTCCCTGGAAATAAAGGAGGGAAGTCGGTTCCTCGTCCTGTGGGGGACAGAGCTGGGGAGCAGCTCTGAATGGTGTTCATGGAATGGGTTGGGATGGAAGGGACCTTGAGGATCGTCCCATTCCACCCCATCCATGGCAGGGACACCTCCCACTGCCCCAGGTGGATCCAACCTGGCCTTGGGCACTCCAGGGATCCAGGGGCAGCCCCAGCAAATCTGGGAATTCCATTCCAGCCAGGAATTCCTTGCCAAGATCCCAGCCCAAGCTCCCCTTTCCCAGTGGGAGCCATTCCCTGGCTCCTGTCCCTCTGTCCCTTGTCCCCAGTCCCTCTCCAGCTCTCCTGGAGCCCCTCCAGGCACTCTGAGCATTCCCTGGAATTTTCCCTTCTCCAGGGGAACATTCCCAGCTCTCCTGGAGCCCCTTGTCTTTCATTTCCCTATGGATGACAGAGGGAATTTTGCACCTCCCAGCTTCCCCAAATCCCAGCCTCCCAGTGTTTCCTGGGAGCGATGTGCAGCCTCCGGGAGGGTTTGTGGGAGCAGATCCATCCCCAGGTTGGAGGCTGTGCTTTGGGGAGGGAGCTCCCCGTGCCCTTTCCCTCGGAAAATCCGACTGGGAGCGATCTGGAGCCGGAGCTCGGGGCCGTGTCCGTCCCTCAGCCCCGGGGACGGGGCAGGAGGAGCGGGGCAGCGTGTCCCTCCCAGTCTGACCAGTATGGATGGCTGGGTGATTTCCCTGGATGTGCTCAGGGCTGTGGAAAGGAGCGGAGCTGGCGGGAGGCCCGGGGAGCCGCGATTGGCAGCCGCCTCCACTCGGTTTAAATTAGGATCATATAAATTCCTTTAAAATTGTTTGATTTCAGCAGCGGGAACGGAGGAGGCCTCGCTACAACGGGAGAGGAAATGGGGTTTTTGTGAGGCTGCAGAAGCGAGGCCGACAAGGGCCGAACGTTTCATTTGGTGATAATCAGGAGGATCTGGCGGCCGCGCTCCCGGGATCGGCAGCGCGGGATGGACCCGGCGAGGCGCTCCCACCGAGCAGCTCTCCCTGCCCTCCTTCCCTCCTGGCTCGTATCCCAATCTGAGTTTCATTTCCTAAATTCCGGGGGAATTCGCCGCGTTCCAGATCTCGTTGTTAATTGTTAATTGTGGGGCCTGGCGCGGATGAAGGGAGCTGCGCGCACTTGAACTCCGCGTGGACTTTGGCCCGTGAACCTGCGTGTGTGTTTGGGTTTTGGTGGGGTTTTTACAGGGCTCTGAGCTCC